TCAATTTAGCATTTCCTTCATTGAATTCAGTAGATAAATAAATATATGTCATATTTAAAGTGGATATCATAGTGCACTTAGCATGATAGATTCAGAAGTCAAAAAAAAAAAAACACTGCTTGCTGCTGTATCTGTGTCCACTGACAAAACCAATGTATATGTGTAAAAATATTGTACAATTGTAAAAAATTAAGTAGAATAGAGTGAAACCTGGATAACTGGGACCTTAAGGGATCTGCAAATTTGTCACACTTAAAGAGGTATTTCTTTTACTCAGTGGCTCAGATATCTAGATATAAATAAATATGTGTCTCAGTTACTGAGGGTTCCATTATTAGAGGTGAGAATAAGGGTTATTTCAGTTACAGAGGTGTGAATATTAAATAAAATAACGTATTTTGTAAACATAATACATAAACATCCGGACAATAGCAAAACCAAATTAAAACTGGAGGTCACTTTTACACAATTAGCCAAGTGCGGAATTCGCGTGTAGAATAAGAATTAGTAAACAAAACGGTACACAAAACATAAGTCTCAGTAAAAGAGGTAAAATATACTCGCTGTCCCAATTAAAGAGGTAATTATGACGAATAAATTCGAAAGAATTAATCCCTAAAATATAGTCTCAGTAAAAGAGGTAAAATACACTCGTTGTCTCAATTATAGAAGTAATTATAACGATAAAATCGAAAGAACTAATCCTAGATAAAGAAGTTTGGTTTATCCCACTAACAGAGGTAATTCAGTGCTACAGTGTTCTCACTTATCCAGGTCACACTTAACCAAGTTTTACTGTATAGTAGCTGTTCCCCGCGACTTCGCCCGCGCTTAATTTATTACGATTGAATTGGATGGGTATTAATGTTTTACGCGGAAACCTAATTCGTTTTCTAAAATAAAAGTAGCCTAAGTTACTTCTTATAACATCAGCTATCTGCCAGTGAAAGTCCCGTCGAAATAGGTCCGGCCGTTTCGGAGATTAGCCGGAACAGACAGACAAAAATTTTAAAAATCGTGTTTTTGTTATAAGTACCGTATATACTTTCATAGACATTACAAACAGACACTTCAATTTTATTTATTTGTATAGATAAATTCTCAAAATAATATTCTGGTGGCATTATGTTCATACATACTTATTCCTCTGCTTTCGTTCCAAATAACAATAAGAGGCAACATTTTTGTACAATAAAAGTTATAACTGCCATGTTCCACATTTTGATCTTTACCATAAATTAATTATTTTGAAAACTATGAACCTTTTAAAATTACTATAAAATTACCAAGTTATATAGCTGTCATTCGACATCTATAAAACAAACAATAAGAGAAAAGCACAACAATCATTCTTGGAATAAAATAACTGTTGGTCCACATTTGGTTAAGGAAATATGATGATAATTTCATCAACATTTCATAGGTATGCTCTATCCAAAGTCGCAGTTGTTCAGCTTGGTCGTACAGGCACAGCACCACAGCATTATGTAGTTAAAAACCTTTTCTTCAAATCTCTTGCAGCCCAGATATCCTCATTATAAATCCTTATTAGAAATAGTAGATATGCAGTTATCATTATCTGCCAGTCAGTTTCTCAAATGGTTTTTATTTGCAATGCAAAGAGGGATGGTTAAAAGTTTGACGGCCATGTGTGTGTGTCTATCTGTAGCATCGTAGCTCTTAAATGGCTAAACTGATTTGGGTGTGGTTTTTTTATATTTAAAAGCAGGTTCTCTAGTGGTGGTTCTTAGCCATGTTTTATCATAATTGGTTAAGCTGTTTCAAGGTCATCAGCTGTTTTGTTAGCAGCAGTAGGTGTTAGTAGCATTATTATTGGGGTTTTAAAAAAAATCTATTTACATTATCTTAATTAATTTTGGTTGTGTTTGGTCTCCAATTACAACCACCTATGTTAACATGTCTATATTAGTTTGTGTATTAGTAACTTAAAAAATCTATACTTCGACTGGTAGAGAATGCTTTTAGGCAGATATCGTGGGGTCTCAAACCATAGGGGCGTATATGCAAAAATGCGATTTGTTTTTAATGCCATTGGATTCTACAATAAGAAATACATAATCTCAATTTTTCTTATAATTTAATATTAATTACTTTCTTCACGCACAATCCCTGACGGGGTAGCCAGAGAGAACAGATCGCCAAGTGTCACGATCCTTACAAACCTCTTTCGCTTCTTTCAGATTCATTATCTTCTTCATGCATGCACGTCTAGGTATCCGAGTACTCTTGACCCTACCCTCTTCGAGCAATTTGCTCACATGGTCTTCGAAAGTTAGTCTCGGTCTACCTCGACACCTTTTAATATTAACTTTCGCGCTATATATTTTCTTCACCATTCGGTCTTCACTCATTCGCTCAACGTGCCCAAACCACCGAAGCACGCCCTTATCAATTTTTGTGATAAGGTCATCTTTCAAACCTGCCATATTGCGAATCTCTTCGTTTCGCTTTCGGTCGGCCATGGTAACGCCGCACATTTTACGAAGAGATCGCATCTCCACTGCATTCAACTTGCTTTTATGCTTCTTCTGGCATACCCAGGTTTCCCTGCCATATAACAAAGTCGGTACCAACACTGCGTTATGTATTGCAAGGCGTGCACTCTTCGCTACGCCTTGCCTTTTAAATCACATCTTCCATCCCGGCTAAAAGCACTCCCCAAGTATACAATTTCATTTACCTGTTCTAGACATTCCTGATTTACCCATATTTCACACTTCGTTCTTTCTTCGTCCCTTTCAAATACCAGAACCTTAGTTTTATTAGCATTCAAACGGAGACCTTTAATTTCACATTCCTCTTTCATACACGTAACTAAATTTCTAAATAAATTGCAAAATATAATTTCTTGTAAGTTAGACAGTCTAAAATTATTTTTAGGCCATATAGCCAATTAGTAAGAGCAATATTATTGCTTATTGGGGCAGATTTGACGTGCCATAAAGACGTATGCACATATGACCGTCAATGTTCACATGAAATTGAAATTTAGTCATCACATTCAAAATGCGGATGCATAGTCATGTCAACAACACCCAATATATTCACAGTCAGTTATCAAAACAACAAAATACCAGAAAATATACAAGGTCACTCAGTAACTAAGTTTAAAGAATTTATTTAAAAAAAAAAAACTGTAGAAAAAGTCATTATAATATAAATGAATACATGGTTGGTAATAACCCCTGGCAATGAGGTGATCGCTTTAATGAAAACGGTCATTTAAAAAATTAAAAGATATTTTTACTAAAAAAAATTCATAACATTTAATACCTCAGTTGCGATAAGAATTGCTAATTTGTCATATTTTAATCATTTTAATGGCAAATTGCATTAATTAGGCATGCCATGATAGTTTGTTATCTGAATAAGACAAACAAGGAAAACTTAAGTATCCTTTACTTAAGTTTTCCTTACTTGTGTAATTTTTCCTATGGTCTTATATTTTGTAATCTTTTATTGTGTTTTGTAATGTTTTAGAAAATTTATTATGCCTAGGTTTTTATAACTATAAGTTTCTTTAAGCATTTAGATTTTTTTTATGAAAATCTCATGTGTCATGAATTTTAAATCTATAATCTGTTCTCAAAACATTTTTGTATCATTTCAAATAATTGTTCTTTTAAAAATCTTCTTTTAAAATTAATTTTTAGAAGTTTCCTATAAGATTTCGGTTTTATTTCGTTTCTTCTAATGTGTTATGTTCTATTTTAGACATTTGTGATTTAATGTCATTTTAAATAATTATATTCAGATTTATGAATAAATTTTATTTTTCATATGCTTAATTTTTGTTTTAATTTTTTTTTCATTCAGTAAATATTGTGTACTTGCTACTATTTGTTTTCTTTTCTTGTTGTTGCACAAAAATGGTTTATACTACTACTTTGAAACCAAATGCCTTTCAATATTAATGACAAGCCAAACAGGTGTACAATTTTTTTAAGGACGGAAATAATGTTAATTTTGATGGTTTCTCATTCCAAAATTGCAACATTTAAATTCACCAACTAGGTCCAAATTACTATTGGAACAATTATTAATAATTTAAGGAAAAATGTTTTACGGTTTATGAGGAATTGTTCGGATTAATTCCAGCCGCCAAATTTCACGAATGCACATCACGTCAAAATTCACATACCATCCTCACTATCTGGATGCTTGGCATTCCACTACTGTGCGTTTTACTAGGAGTTTTCTTCCTTGTATGACTTCTCTGTGGAATTGTTTACCACTGGCGATTTTTCCGGACCGATACAACTTAGGGACCTTCAAGAAAAGAGCTTACACCTTTCTAAAAGACCGGCAACGCATCCGCAATTCCCCTGGTGTTGCAGTTGTTCAGGCGTAATCACTTACAATCAGGTGAGCCACATGCTCGTTTGCCCCCTCTTCTCTAAAAACAAAAAATGTCCATAAATTCCAAGCATTTTAGGCTAATTTTCACATACTTTCACCATTTCGCCGTCATGCCAAATAGTCATAAGGACAAAAAAATAATGTTATAGAGGAAATACCTTAGAATCAATCATCCCATAGTAACTGAAATGTAAACATATGGCCACATGCAAAAACACAACGAGCTTGCTCCATCACAAGAAAAGTTAGTAAGTTTTTTGTCTCTCCTGTAACGTAACGGTTTTGTGGATAATGATATATTTGGTTTGAGACCTACAATATGGTACTTAATGTGTACCCTTTGTATCCTCTTATATAGGGAAACATAAAATAATAAAAAACAAATATGCAGGTGTAAGATCATTTTGATCAGTAAATATATAAATACTTTTAATATTAATATTAATTTACACAGAAATACTTTACCTTTGCCTTAAAAAATCAAGAAATTTACTGTAGTGATAGATATATTTTATGTACGACAATCATGTATTAAACTAATGAGTCAAACTTAATGAAAGGCACTGTTTTTGAACATAAGAAATATCTGTCAAAATTTTATGTTATTAAAGATGTCTCACCTCAAAAACGCCCAGGCAACGGCCCAACTTGCCGATGACGCCGGCTTCCTCCAGCACCTCACGCATAGCTGTTACCGACGGCTCCTCCTCCGGCTCCACGCCACCACCCGGCACGATCCAGTTGTCCGGTCGTCGAGACGACGTCACGAGTAACACCTACGTGTTCAAAACACGCCTCATTACATCGCACGTTAATATTAAATAATCATCTCAAACCCCAATGTTATGACACTAACCTCTGTTTCGGCGTCCGATCGTACACAGATACAAGCGGCGCGGCGTCGGAATCCTTCATCGTCGTATATACGGATAGAATTAGGTTTCTCCTTAACCATTTCGAATAAACACGTAAACACGAACAAAATAGACGATCACAAATGAAAAGCGGACATTAAATAGAAAGAAAATGATCAACCGAACTTAATTTTTAATGATCAACAAACGCCATGACTGAGGTATTCTAAGATAATTGTATCCATTTTTGACTAATCCATGAGTTACACAATGTACATGTAAAATGAAACTATAATAACAATAACACTACAATTAGAACAATATTTTAGCTACAACTAGCTTTTGATCGCGTATTTCAAGCCCATGTTGAATGGTGCCTGACGTTTTCTCTCTGCGAAAATCGAAATGGGTTTTGGAAAGCAATTATGTACTAAGACTTTGTCTATGTCTATGGCAATTACGACGACGAGATTATCAATCAGCTGACAGCCGGAAGTTGGAAATAAAATTGCCATACCTACTTTGAGTTGTTTTGTTACATAAATTATTACAATAATATTTGACTATTATTCATTTAACAGGAGTAATAATATTTTCATTAATCTTCAATAATTTCAAAAATAAAGTTCTACTGATTAGCTACAAGTTTATTAAAGTTAGTAAAAGTTACTTTGCCTATATCTGCTCAATACGCAATACACGCAAAATAATGTGTCTTACCTAGTTTGAAGAGCACCACCCAACCTCCCTCAATTGCGTTCACTATCCTTGTCACCGCTAACCCATTAATAAGGACCTTAGCAGTCAGCCACCGCAAAGTCTACTTCACCTTAGGATGCCTTGTGTAGAAACGCAACACGTCGTGTCGTATTAGAGACGGTGATATGTCTTTCCTTGTGTAGTGGTGCTGGGATAAGTGGTGACGGGTATAGTGCACGCAATTGAAGAAGTTAATATAATGGATTTCCGCAAAGTAACGCCTGATTCTATTAAACAGTTACAAGTTTTTTTAAAGACGATTTGACAGATTTAATTTAATCAAAGTAAGATTAAGCCCCATTGGAATAAAATGTATACGACGTATATATAAGCTAATGTACAATTAAATACACATTGTCTACTCAATAACAAGCATAAAAAATATTTTTTTATTATTTTCCCTCTCTACTAATTCACAAAGATCATTGTATGTTTCTTGTACTCGGAACCCGTACTATCAATATAGCTATAAGATACAATTTTGTACCTTCATGAAAATAAAAATAAAACTCACTGTAACCGCGAAAGGGGTATTAAAATAAATACTGTGATAAATTCACTGACTATTCGTTTGTATAAGAATTAATGAAATGCTATTAATATTGTTTTATTTCATTAAAAAAATATTTTTTATCAAAATTGTTCTTCGTTACAAAAATATAATTTGATAAAATATGGAAAAAAACTATTTCATTTGATTTTATTGTCACATATCTCTAGAAAATTTAAATCGCAAACCTCACGGTACCCATGCCATTTGAAAAATATTATAACATCATTCTTTAATTTCATTGTTTAATTGTGTGTTCCAAAGCGTATAAAACCTACTTAGAATATATAGACCAATATAGTGTGCAAGAGAGAAGAAAATTCCTTATGGCAAAAAGCACGATAGAAAAGTCTTTAAAATTCTCCTGCGTATTTGGCTTGTCTCTGTTAAGATAATTATGTCTTTAAAATTCATGCTGAAAACATGATAATAAGTTTATAATTCTTTTAAATTTTTCAGAGACAGATGAAAGAGAGAGTAGTCTCATCGTATGTTAATCGAGCCATAACCCCTCCACCTTTGAAATCACAAGATCAAGAAAGAAGTGATAAACTTACACCAAAAAATGTATTATGTACTCCATGTCTCCAATTTTTATTTTACCAGCAAAATATTTCGAAATTATTACTTTAAACAAATTAATTACAGTTACTAATTGGCCTCTCAATAAAACAATCTTTTTTTTATTGCATAAGGGTGACAAACGAGCACAAAGTAAGTGGTTAGTGTTGTCCATAGACATCTATATCTATCCTCGATTATGAATCAAAATGCAGATGCATTGTCACCCCTGAGGACTAACGTGGAATGCTTAGTTTCCAGTAAAAAGGATCTTCGGTTCTCTACACTCACCATACGAAACACAGCAGCGTTAAGCTGCTATTTTACACTGGTATTCTGTAAGAATGTGTTATTTAACTGATTCTTACAAGATTCCTTACTTAAATTATTAAGTTTACTTTCTTACTTAACTTGGATGTTAAAATAAAATTTTTTAATATATTTTGGTAATCATTTAACGTTTGTAAATATAAAAAGTAATATTTATATGAGCCAATCTACGGGGGAGGCTTTTATAGGCTGTGATGCATGATGGAAAAGGCAAGTAGGTACAGCTTATTCCCGGGAACATGTTATTTGAATATTTTTAATTATTTTAGATTTATCATGGTAAAAATTCAAGTTTTAATAATTTAACAAGTTTTAATAGTTTATTGCACGACAATTCAGTTTCTTGCATTAAATTATTCTTTTTTATCTCTTTACCACTTGTTTAACAATCATTTTCGATAGTCCTTTTAAGTAAAATGTACGTCACTAGCTAACGCACACAATAACAAATCAAATTTTGTAACGCATTTTTGGGCTGTCAGGTCGTCTATACACCGGTATATTCTAAGTCTATGGTCTACACAACATAGAGCATAGATATACCTGCAACGAGTTCGCAAGTAAGAGTTAAGTAACGTTTAGAATTGAATGGTTGGACGATCGTGTAATGCCAGCGTTAAAGTATACGTAACTCATATAATCCTATATTTTGACTAAATTCTGCAGCATATGTTGTAAGAAAGATTAGAAGTCTCACATAATATGTTGAGACAACTAGATTAGTGTATTTTAGTTACTTTTATAGCGTAACATCTTATTGAATTTCGCTATGGGGTAATGCGACTAATATTGAAGCTATATTTGTTTTGCAAAAGAGAGCCGTTCCGACCCACGACCTTTCGAGTTCGCGGTCCGCGCCCTGCCATTAGGCTACTGATGTTTAACTTTGGCATCGCAATATATTTATGAAAATGTAATGTATGTAAGAATAAGGATGTTCATACCTTAAATACTAGGAACAAAATAAGCTTCTAATGCCAGTTACTAGATTCCACAGAATCAGTAATTCATTTATGGGGCAATGTATACTCTTTTACAACAAAATCTCAGAACATATTCAAAGTTTGTCAATAAAGAAGGTAAAAAGTAATTAAGAGAATCAGGCGTTACTTTGCGGATATCCATTGACCACAATTAATTATTGTCGTCAGTAGTGTGTCCTTCCTAGAGTAGTGGTGTTGGGAGTTGTAATGCTGGGATTAGTGGTGACGGGGATAGTGCACGTAATTGAGAGAGGGCTGGAGGTGCTCTTCATACTATGTAAGACACATAATTTTATTTTGTAGAGCGGATGTCTGCGAAGTAACTTTTTAAAAGCTTTAAGTTCAAAAGTTTTATTAAAGAAAAACTGTACAAAAAGGGTTATTATAATATTAAGGAATACATGAATGAAAATAACCCCTGTGAATAAGGTGATCACCACCATGCTGGTTCTGTGAAAATTCATTTAAAAATTGTATAAACAATAATTATGACAAGTAAAAAAATATTTTAAAATAAGTCCCGCTGGTGTTTTTGCTGGTTCTTCCTAGGACAGAGGTATTTTCCGTTCCGGTGGTAAATAAAAAATGACTTTCAATAAATATTATGTAATAATCAATATTGAATAAAAAATAATTTTATTCTATTCTATTCTATAAATCCTTGGATATTATTAGGAAAATAGCTTGCGAAATACTCTATGGTATTAGTGGATGAAATGATATACTCTAAGTTAGCTCTTATTTTTAAGTAAGCTCGGAGTTTTGGCGGAAAATTGACGGGCAGCGGTTTGCTGCTCCTGTAGTATTAATTTAATTTTTATTAATTTAATTTAATTTAAATTTTAAATAATGGTTTAAAGTGGACTTTGATTTGTATAAGTGGTAAGATTTTGTGTATTAAGTGTCTGCGCATGTGAAATATATGTGGAAACTGTGAAACAAGTGCTCTGATGGTGATGTGATTCTCAAAATAAGGTGTCTGTCTGTTTAGGCGCCTTGAGATACCATCGCCAACCGTCAGCTGTCTGCTGGCTCAAGTTGCCGTCAAAATCTCCCAAGAGCTGCGCAATGTTACGCATCAACGTATTGTGGAGCAGTATACTATGAAGGATAATTATAATATATTGTAACTTCAGGCTCAGGAGGGCTAGATCCCAGAGCCGTAAAGTAACTTGTTAAAAAAAATTAAGTAATCTCTTCTCTTTTACCAAGGTTTGGTTTGTCTATGTTTGTACCTATATTTTTTTAAATGTTTGAATAGCTTTGTGTCAGTTAAGTTTGTTTTTAGTTCACTTCATTGAGTTCTAAAATAAATATTTGTCATAAACTTATTTTTCTGTTTTCAGGTTTCTCCCATGGGTAAATAATTAATTTTTTTAAGAGTTATTAATTGTTGATATATGTTTTGACATTTTCATAGTGGTCAATGCTATTTTTTTGGTATATTATATAGTAACAGTTTTTTTTATATTTGTTTTTCAGATAAGAGTTTTGATTTGGTTTCTTTAATGAAGAATCATGAGAAGAAGCACAAACACAAACCTACACAAATTCTAAGCGTGGCTGGCGGGGTACTGTCAAAGCTTTAAATAATCGTATTGTAGCTTTTCAGCATTAGTTTGCTATTTTTCAACCATGCATGGAGTATGATAATAAAATCTTTTAAAAACCATAAAGGGTAAATAATATACTCATTTACATAATGATATAATCGATATTCATGATCTTACAGGTTCAAAAGCGTTTAGAAAAGAATATTAGTCACCGAAAAAGCAGTAGACTGTCGGTTTTTGACAGTATAAGAAACTTGCCTAAATGTGCAGTGCCTGACCCAATATCTGAGAGCCAGAAAAAGGTGGAACACAGAAGAATGCAGTTGGAAAAATGGAAGGAAGAAAAAGAGAAAAAAAAGAAAGAAGCTGCTGCACAGAAAAAGAAACCTTTTGTTGCTGGTATTGCACACCATCCATTGAAATATGTTCCACCACCTCCACCTAGACCAATGCCTAGTACATCAGGAAGAGTTACTAGGTCTCAGTCTATTAAAACTAATAGTCAAATTACACAGAAAAAATCAAAAGCCTCTAAATCAACCAAACATTTTCAGTCATTTGCACCAAGAAATGCATCGTTTAAACCTCCGGAACTAAAAACCATAACAGAGCTTCCTACTTTAGCACGGGTACAAAATAAGAAACAAAAGATTGATATAACATTTGAGCCAGTAGTACCAGATGTTAGCCAAAAGAAGGCTTTATTGAACTTAGAAAAATCAAATGGCTCATTCACCATATCAGCCACTATGTCTTCAAAGGTTAATCCTCGCAGTAGGGTAAAAGTGATTGATAAATCTGTGAAAGATTCTAAATCCTCAATACAGAAAAAAACATTACATAGTAGCACCTCAAATAGTGACATGGAATCATTGTCTACAGAAATATTTCTTGAAAGTAAAAATAATACTCCAAGAAAATCCAAACGCTCTCAATATAAAAATAATACACCCAAAAATAGTATACCAAAAAGTGAATCAAGCTCAGAAGAAAGGCTTAGATCTCCACAGTCTTCAAGCACAGAGCAACAAACACCTCTTAAGCCATTACCAAATACGCCGATGACTCCAGAACAAATAGCAGAAGAAGTTAAAAAAATAAGTCCCTGTGTCACACTTTCTCGAGGGAAGGATAATGCTAGAAAAGAAATGAAAAAGAAAATGGAAGAAGGTATGATTTATTTATGTTTATGATACATATAATTTAGAAAGGCTGTATTTTTAAAAATTAATATTTGTAAGATATTAATTATTGAACTTATTTACAAATGTAATATATAAATAATAAAAATGATTACATATACATACATACATAAACACTCACGCCTGTCACCCAGAGGGGTAGGCAGAGATTATGGACTTCCATTTGGCACGATCCTGACACATCTCTCGCTTCCTCCACATCCATATACCTACGCATACACGCTCGTCGGTTAAAGGTACTCTTGATTTGGCCCATTTTTAATATATCGCCAATTTGGTCGATAAACTTTCGCCTAGGGCGACCCTTCCCGACTATGCCGTTCACCTGAAGTTCATGAAGCAAATATTTTAAAATGAATATGAATATTTTAAAATATTTGCTTCATGCAGAAACCAATGTGGAACATTAAATACTATTACTATGTGACCAAAACAATTAAGCGCAGCTAAAACGTCATTAGAATTAGGGAGGGAATATCAAAATGGTGATTGGTCACTTTGGGAAGTGTGGGGATAGAAGCAGGATGTGTTCGTCACACAATCAAAAGATACAGTCGTTTATGCCACAAATTTTCGACATTCTCAAGGGAATCCAAACCTACAGGGTACTTCCCGTGAACTCAGAATCTTGAAATTTGGTACGAAGCAACGTTTTATAGCACAGATAAAGGAAAAATTGCGAAAAGTATAAATTTTTACATCACATAATAAAACTATTTTTAATAATTTTAAACTTATATACTTACGGGTCTTATTATATTTGACCAATCGTATGACAGGAAAAGGTATTTAAACCTTTACGTCTATAAATGTATCCTATATACAGGATTATTTTGTAATAACCGACCAAATTTTCTAAGGTTCAGAATAAGTAATATAGGCAAATAGTAAAGAAAAATTTATTAAAAAATATCACAAACATTCTTTTCTTTTTCAAAATGTGTGGTACTGCATTATTTTAACTGATTTTACTGTTACACGTTTGTAAGGGTGGATTGGTAGGCAAAAAAACGTTGTTGCCCATAAATCACATTCAATTTGGGGTCATTTGAAATAAAAGTAGAAGCTTTATTTACTTGTATTTTCAAAAGGTGCAATAACATTATATCATTATTTATTTATTTGAACTTAAGTTTAAAATTTTACTCTCAATAAATTTTAAATAACTGATCATTATATTGAATTTTATTCATTCATTATAGTCTATCAAAGTCCACTGCTAAACAATAAAGATTTTCACATATGGGGAATAGTTGCCATGTCTGCAGGAGATTTGGCAACCACAGTTTTTATTTCGCTAGTTGTTATTGGGAAGACTGTATATATCCTGGCTTTTTTTTTCTCTGATGCCTTTTACAACATCCATGGTACAATATGGGCTAGTGGATATTTTTACACCACCACTATATGGTTATATATTGAATTTATTTTTTCCATATACAGTTAGTATTACATCTGCAGTTGTAACAAAGCTAATCCTAGTGGCCTTTAAATCATAAGGAGACCTTTCCTGAAAAGTAAATATAGTTGATTGTTACTTTTCTAAGTTAAGGGACCTATATCATTTATTTTACTTATAAAAAGTTTTTTTGTCAGGTTTGTTGGACGATGTTAATAGTGATATTGAAAGTGTGGATTACTTTAGACGTCAACTAGACTCTGAAGTCAAGCGCATTACACAGATGTGTGACACTTGGGACAAGATCTCTCAGCAAGTAATTTTGTCTGAGTCTGCACAGGTAAGACTGTTTTTACTACACATTTATACCTATAAATAAAATTGTCATATCTGTCTGTAATATTGAAATTACTCATCTGCATTCTATTAAGACATAAATAACCATTTATAAAATTTTTGTATGTCTGGACTAATTTTTTGAATGGCTGAACCAATTGTAATTATACTTCTCAAACAGATATAGAGCAATGCCAGGAGTAATCTAGGTTATATTTTATTTTCTGGTCTGGAGATTTTTTGAAAACACGTAAATTTGTTAAAATAAACAGTCTTTAATTATCTTAAATCTAAATAACACCACATTAATAAATCTTACTCAGGCAGAGATGGGATGGTTCGCAAGTTAGAAATAAAATAAGGAGTTAGGTGGACTTGAATAGCATAAGCTCCTGCCGTCACATACCATGTGCTTATTTATTTATTTATTTTGCATAATGTGTGTGTTTTACAGTTGTTATAAAAAATATAGTACAACACATTAACCATTTCTGGTGTACAAAATTGTTGAATTTTATAAACATTAAGTATGATGAAGTACATTATAAATTAAAATTACAAAAAAAATACATACATTGCATAATAAATAGCAAAAAAAAATTGAAAGTTACCTAGTTAAAAAAACATTTACTACTATTTGCATTATCATATCATTAATATTTATAATTTCATGTCACATTATAATATATAATTACCAAAATATTATTAAAAAAAAATTCAAGATTTATTGTTTTTCCAACAACTCGCTAACCGAATAAACAGATTTATTAACTAGCCACTTTTTCAACTCGTTCCCGAAACGCTTCCTTGGTAGTAATTTTATATTATTGGGTATTGCGTTAAACACTTTTATGCACATTGCACAGCAATTTCTATGATAATTTACTGTTTAGTATTTTATCAATGACTAATTTATCTGGATTCCTTAAAGGTTTGGACTTGATAATATCTCCAGCAGTTGTAAACAGCTCAGAATTATTTTTCACAAATTTTGCTGTTTCAAGGATGTATATGCAAGGAACTGTTAACACTTTTAAATTTATAAATATTGGTTTGCACGATTCAAGAGGGCCATAATACATATTGCATGTAGAAATTTTTTTTGCACAATGAAAACTTTATTGATATCTACAGAATTTCCCCATATTATTATACCGTAGCTAAGTATACAATAAATGTATCCGTAATAAGGCATAAGAGCTGTTGATTGCGATGCCGTCTTTGTAAGGTTCCGTAATATGTAAACAAAGTGGTTAAGTTTATTACATATTTTTTCTATATGAGTTTTCCAGTTACAAAATGTATCCATATGTATACCGAGAAAGGAAATTTCTTGTACTTGTTTTATTTGTTTGACATTGTATACAATTCGATTTAGCTTTATTTCATTATTTTTTTTATTAAAAACTTGATTTTGCTTATATTTATGTGTAAATTATTATGTTCTAACCATTCAATTATAAATTTCAAAGAAATTTCAACGCATTAGTTCTTGGTCACAAAATAACTCCATGCTCCTTAATCCTACAAAATCTAAGTTTATTATTATAAGGTACTAAAAAGCAGGTACAGGACATAACTTCTACTGATCCTAACATACATATTGATGGGGAAAACATTGAACGAGTTTTTGAAGTACGAAATCTTGGGGTTCTTATGGACAGTTATTTAAAGTTTGAAAAGCATGTAATTAATCTCGTAAAAAGATGTTTTTTTCCGATTGAAAGTTTTATATTCAATTAGGCAGTTTATCACTAGACTTACGCGTTAAACTTCTGAAACCTTAGTTCTGTCTAAACTAAATTATTGTATAACATTGTATGGACCTTGTCTATTTAAAAAATCAAAAAATTTAATTCAAAGTGTACAAAATGCTTGCGCTCGTTACTGTTTTTACATCCCAAGACGAACACATGTTACACCTTACCTTAATGCCTCTAATATGCTAAAAATGCAGTGCAACGAACGTCTCAAATTATTTTATGCCTCCCTGCTATTTGGAGTAATAATAACAAAGAAACCAGAATACCTATATGAAAAGCTTCAGTGGAGACAAAATCAACATATGTACGGTATTCGAAAGTGTGCAAAAGTACTTTGCATACCTCAACATAGGACATCAGCATTTCGTGGTAGTTACAAATTTATGGCCACAAATTGTTGGAATGATCTTCCACCACCATTACGAGTCATAACAAATAAGAATAATTTTAAGAGAAAATACAAAGAGTATTTAAAGTACGCAGAAAATGTCATAAATATAAAAAAACAATTCGGCAGGGCTGAGTATCCCATATTTAGTTATATTCAATTATGTAACTTATTTTGACTACCAATATTCTTTTTAATAACCATTACGTTGTTTTAGCATAATTATATTATAATTAGTCTGAATATCCATTTGGGGTTATTTGCCATAGTTGCCACGCTTGGAGAGTGGGTTGGCAACCGCAGTTTTTTATTGTATTTTTGCTGTTATCAGGAAGATGCTGCTGCCCATCTCCTGCCTGTTTCCCTTTGTCGCCTTTTACGACACCCACGGGAAGATACGGGGTAGTGGATATTCTTTACCGCCACTATACGGCACCTAGACCTAGCTAATTAGCTATAACTAGTTTTTAATATTCTTTTATATAAAAATCAATTGCCGTGCGGTAACCTCGCTAAAACTTAAAAATGCCTTAACCGATTTTGATGGGTATTTTGTGTTTGAATGGGATGATGATCCAGAAATCACCCGTGCGAAGCCGGGGCAGATCGCTAGTATAATATAATTAACTTAGCTAATCATAGATGGAGTTTAAGGCCTCCCGTCTCGCTGCGTAGCCAGGCTGTGGTGGCCTAAATATTTGAGTAGCCACTTCTAAACAGCCAATAGACGGTCAGTTGTGACCCTTTCTTCGTCATTTCGTGGTTTCGGAACACAAAATACGCTCGTGGAAACTGTCCATGCGGTCGGAGCTAAGTTCTGCAAGACCCGCCGCAGAAGAATACAAAAACTCTCCGATCACACTTAATCTCATGGCTGTTAGACGGGAGATGAAGCTACATTCTTCAACAGATTTGACAGCATACAGGCAACTGAACAGACAGATCTCCAAATGCATGCGGCGGGACTTACGCAACTTTAATACAGCTCGTATTGAAGAAGCGGTCGAGCGGAACCAAGGCTCCAAAGTCTTTGCCAGAGATATGTCTGCCAGAAAGAGCCAACTGTCAAAGCTGAAGACAGAATGTGGCAGCATCGTTTCCGGGGCACCTGAGATTTTGAGTGAGATTGAGAGGTTATATGGGCAGCAGCTGTACACGTCATCGTTGGAGCCACAAGCGAGTGTGAGTAACGATCCAAGAGCGAGTCTTACCCGACATTATTCCGATGATATCTCGGACGTCAGTCTGAGCGAGATTAGAATGGCTCTCCAGCACCTTAAAAACGGCAAGGCCCCATGCGAGGATGGAATTACAGCGGAGCTTCTGAAAGCGGGTGGAAAACCGGTACTTGAAGTCCTTTAGAAGCTTTTTAATTCCGTCCTCCATGGTGGCATTACACCGGAGGCGTGGAGCAGAAGTGCGGTGGTCTTGTTCTTCAAGAAAGGCGACAACGCTCTCTTGAAGAACTACAGACCGATTTCCCTTCTGAGCCGCGTCTACGTGCTGTTTTCGAGAGTCATTAATAATCGTCTCGCGCGCAGACTTGACGACTTCCAGCCTCCCGAACAAGCCGGTTTCCGAAAAGGCTTTAGCACCATAGACCACATACATACCCTTCGGCAAATTGTACAAAAGTCAGAGGAGTACAATTTGCCACTATGTCTGGTGTATGTGGGCTATGAGAAAGCCTTTGATTCCGTCGAAATTTGGGCGGTGCTGCAGTCCCTTCAGCGGTGCCAAGTGGACTGTCGGTATATCGAAGTGCTGAAGTGCTTGTACAGTAGGGCTACGATGGCTATCCGAGTACAGAACCAGAGTACAAAACCTATCCAATTGCAGAGAGGTGTAAGACTGGGTGACGTCATATCCCCGAAACTCTTCACCGCTGCATTGGAAGACGTTTTCAAGCTTCTGGACTGGAACGGATACGGTATCAACATCAATGGCGAGTACATCACTCACATTCCATTTGCCGACGATATAGTCCTTATGGCAGAATCGCTGGAGGACCTAAGCACTATGCTCAATGACCTCAATAGTGCTTTCCAACGGATAGGTCTTAAGATGAACGTGGACAAAACAAAGATCATGTTTAATGTCCATGTCACACCTATGCCGGTAGTTGTTGGGAGCACTAAGCTCGAAGTTGTTGACGAGTATGTTTACCTGGGACAAATAGTCCGACTAGGTAAGACCAACTTTAATCCAATATGTAAATGAACCTACACACTTTACTCCTTACAGTGCTACATTAATTGATTTAATATGCGCCGACCTACCAATCTCAAACGTAACCGTCGATTACATACCAACTCTAAGTAATCATGCTTTCTTAACATGTAACTTTAAAATCAGTAAGCCAAAATGTAAACCAATTCAGTTTTTGTATCGCCCAGTGAAAGACATAAATCGTGATAGTTTTAATTTCGAAATGGAAAGGATCGACTGGGATTCTATGGCTCAATTACCTCATGTAAATGATATGGTTTCTCAATTCAATTTAACAGTGTTAAGCCTGTTCGACCAATTCGCGCCACTAAAGCTTAAGCAAGTAAAGGAGCGTACATATCCATGGATTACCTTTACTATTCGCGAAATGATAAAATTGCGGGACGAAGCACATAATCGTTTTCGCTTAACTAGATTAGAAAAGCATAAAAGTTATTACAAAGAACTTAAGCATGCTGTAAACTCAGCGTTATACCGCGAAAAACAGGCCTATTTTAATCAACATATAAACCGCAATATAACTAATTCTAAAGCTCTTTGGAACAATCTTAAACGGACAATAAACATATCAGAAAAATCTAGAGACTATGTAATTCCTGACCAACTCAACGACCCGGATTTGAT